CAGCTGTCATTGTTCTTTGGCGGGCCCAGGCTGGATTTGAACCCGCCAGCTCAGGTGTATGTGGCTGGTGCCTTAGCTGCTTGAGCCACAGGCGCCAAGCCTGACATCTCTTTAGATTTCAGCCCGTTTACACCAAGCATAAAATAAACTTCCCTGCATGTTGTTATGTTTGGTTTCCTGTGTTTTGATCCGGGCCTTGTTTTACCCATAACTTTGATTGTGCCACTGCATTCTAGCCTGGGTGGCAGAGGGAAATCCTGTCTTAAAAAAAAAAAAAAAAATTAAAAATATAAATAAAATTTTTTTAAAAATCCTTTCTAGTAGCCGGCGTGGAAGGTGGAAGAGGACAGGGAGAGGCTAGAAGTGTGAGACGAGAAGGAGGCTGGTGACCCGGGAGAGCTCGCAGAGGTGGTTTTCGATTGGAGGGTCCAACCCAGTGAAGGACTGGACCTTGTGCAGAGGCAGAGCCACAGCCATCTGGGAGCTAGGAGACAACTCAGACAGCCCCAGGTTAGAAAGTTTGAATCTTCACTCACCCCTGGGGCAAATGAGTCTCTTCCATCCTGTGCCTCAGTTTCCATTTCAGAGGCACATGCAGGGAGGCCAGAAGACTCACATATAAAAGCAGCAAGATGGCAGGCTTGACTTTCAGGCCAACATGGGGTGACTCATACTTCCAGTTTCTAGTTTGCCAGGTTTTTCTTTGATTTTTGTTTTTTTAAGAGAAGGGGTCTCACTCTGTGGCTCAGGCCTGAAAAGCAGTGTGCTTTTTAATTCTTCTTTTTTTTTCTGTTGTTTTTTTTTTTTCTCTAGACAGGGTCTCACTCTGTTGCTCAGGCTAGAATGCAGTGGTGTCATCACAGTTCACCTCAGTCTCCAACTTCTAGGCTCAAGTGATCCTCCTTCCTCAGGTCCTCAAGTTGCTGGGACCATAGGCATAAGCCATGATTCTTGATTTGCCAGGTTTTAACACAAAAATCTTGCATCCTGGGAACCCCACAGTCCCAGGCAAACCAGGATTGTGGTTGTCCTAGAATGCTTGCCCTGTGCAGAGAGCCTCCCTGAGAGAAAGGAAGAAGGAGCCAGGGGAGAAGAAGAACCTAGGAGACCAAGATTGAACAGGGATGTGGCTAAAACTGTCTCAAAAAAAAAAAAAAAAA